TTAGAATTTATTTGTACTTTTGAAGCTTTTCGTAATACCATCTGCTTTTTTGGTTGTGATGTTTATTTTCTCATATCTATTTTTTTTTAATTTTCTTTGAACTTTAATGTCATACAGGTCATTGTTTTTTGTACAACAGCTATGATGACATCCCTCATGTTTTCCCTCTTCCGCGAGATGAAAATGAATGTGAGAGAGATCCATTCCAGAAAACCTCAACTTTATCGTACTCGAATCTCTGATGAATTCAAGGAAACAAAACGTGTAATTCTTATTTCCTCTGATGTGTCAGCTCGAGGGATGAATTATCCTGATGTTACACTTGTTATTCAGGTATATGGCAATTCAGAGAGCTTATAATGCACATTGATATTTCTTGAAGTTCAAACATTATTTTTGACTCTTCTTTTGAATATAGTCTGTTTCCTTTTAAATGCTATAACTTCTTGTTCTTGGAATGGTTAAATAATTTTGGGTTCAATATCTTCCTAAAATGACCTTGGAAAAAATTAACAGTCAAATAAAGTACTTCTCCAATTTGTTGAAGGAGGTTGTTTATTAAAACTTCTTTCACAAACCTGAAGTAGTCAACCAAAGAATAATCCGAAGGCTCAAGTTATTTAGGCTCTTTTCTCTCCAACTTTGCCATCCTTCAAATTTTTAGTGTCACTATTCACATCATTTCTCATCTAAAGTGTTTTCTCCTATTTGCGAAGTGATGATCAATTCGGTGGTCTGATAATCAAGGAATGTGCATTATGTGGGAACTTGGTTTGTTTTCTTTTTTTTGTGGGGCTGTTTCCTTTTCCTTCCTCTATATCTTACATGGGAATGTTTCTGTTTATCAGGTTGGTCTTCCTGTTGATCGAGAGCAGTATATACACCGGCTTGGAAGAACTGGGCGAGAAGGCAAAGAAGGAGAAGGTATCCTGTTGCTTGCGCCTTGGGAACAATATTTCTTGGATGACATAAAAGACCTCCCCATGGAAAACTGGCCAGTTCCACATCTTGATCCTCGTGTTAAAGTCAAGGTTAGCTGCTTTGTACACTCATTCTTTTTTCTATGCACTGATAGGCCGTAGAACACAAAATGCTCCCCATTCACCTTAGGAAAATAAAGGAAATTCACTAGTTAGAGAGGATTATAATAAGATCTCTGATTACTATGCTGGACTTCTACGAGGTAATTTTTTTTGTTTTTTGTATGAGCAGGATTTTTGAGAAGTCCCTTTCTTGATTTTATTCCAAGCCACTAGCATTTAAATTTGGTTTCAGTTAAATGTGATTGTAAAGCACTTTATTTCTTGTGCCTGGCAACCTGAAGTCGGTATTGTAGATGAATTATTTTCCGAGTTTCTTAAACACTTCCACCTATCATCACAAACAAACTGAACAAGGATGTCACCACACTTTTGTTTGGAGTACGTTTAGTAGTACTGATGCTGTAGACTCTTGTCAGGAGTGTTATCCCATGCCCGCCCCCACCCACTGGAAACTAACTGTTTCATTTACTTCTGGAAATCATTTTTAGCTTTTTGATGATATGATAATTGCAGATGGAAGAAGCAATGGAAAAGATGGACACTAGTGTCAAAGAAGCAGCTTATCACGCTTGGCTTGGTTATTACAACTCTGTCAGGGAAATAGGCAGAGATAAGACGACACTTGTCGAGTTAGCTAACCACTTTAGCGAGTCTATTGGTTTGCAAAAGCCTCCTTCACTATTCCGTAGAACAGCTCTAAAGATGGGATTGAAAGATGTTCCTGGCATCCGGATACGAAAGTAGCTCAGGGTTTTTGGTCTTACGTTAAAAGAGATGATAATGTTAGAGGAGAGTAGTAGCATCCATAGTTCTGGTGAACGTTGATTTGGCGTCAGGAAACAACATTAGCGGGACTTGTATTTGGTCTTTTGAACCGTCTATTTGGACATCTTGTGAATGTATTAAATCTTCTTGAAAAATGAAATGTAAATATTTGAGTGCTGAATAAATTCTCTGTAAACCTTTCCAGCAAAGACCTAATTCATGATAAATTTAGGTAATCTTAATTCTTGGGTTATTTTTTTAATGGTTTTGAGTTTATGTTTCCAATTTTTCAGATAAGCCAAAGTTCGTCTATTCAGGTTCTTTTATTTACTTGGTAGGGCATTGCATTCTCCGGATAATTCAAATTGAAGCAATTGAATGTCCAACTTGAGCCGATACGATGTGGTGAAATGGTAAGACACGTGAAATTTAAAATCTCAATAAGAAAGCACGATTGCATTGTAGTGACAACTCATCAATCTTTCTTTTTCTGTTTCAAGCAGCGGATCTAAAGTACAACTTACGGTATCACAAAAATTTAGTAACTTTTGACTTTTAAAATTTCAATAAAAAAGCACGATTGCATTGTAGTGACAACTCATCAATCTTTCTTTTTCTGTTTTGAGAAGCGGATCTAAAGTACAACTTACGGTATCACAAAAATTTAGTAACTTTTGACTTGATCTTATATACATATTGAAATTTACTAAATATCTATAAATATTTTACGATAAATGAATTTGTTTATTAGTACATGTTAACTTAAAGTTGCTATAAAAATTTATAAACTTTAAATTTCGAATTCGTTTTGCTTGAAAAGAACCAAACCTTTTACTGTTCTGAGTTTATTTAAGTGGACCCTGTGAACGAATTAGTTCTGATAATTGGGCCCAATGGGCTCAAAGATGACGTCATGTTACAGAAGTAACAAATATTGAAAATGAAATGTTGTTTTCATATGGATGCTATGTCTTCTCAAACATGCAATATCCCACAAAAAAATGAAAATTCATTTCATATCCTCTTTCCTTTAGACAATTCTTTTCTTGGAACCCTCGGAAATCCGGAGTTGCTATTCTTTGGATATACATTGAGCAATCCGATGTATCAGCTTAGTCATCCTTACGAATAAATATAAATCATATAATTAAAATTCCCATTTTTTTTCTTTCTTCAAAATTACACAAAAGAATTCTGATGAATTGAATTAAAGAAAATATGTAGTATTCCAAGTAGAAAATTCACCAAGACTGATTTCCTTATTAATTGGACAATTTTTATTTTATTTTATTTTTACAACAGAATTTGCATAGTTAGAAAGTACATAAAATACTATAGATCATACTCATTTTAGAATAAAAAAGTTTATAAATATATGAAAATCGCAGTTACAGATAGTATTATTGACTCTCCTAATAGGCTAATAGTGTGCTGGCATATATAATTGAGATAGAATATCTAGAGAATTCATCAATAATAATAGACGTCTAATGGCATTCTGACCTTTCTTTGTTAGACCTGTTTATAGTCGGAAATTCCAACTCGAAGACCCTAATACTACTTACTTTGCAACATATTATAAATTGAACCCCCTTTTCAGCATTTACACAACAAGATGAACAGTTTAACTAGGTGCATTAAACTTAGTAAGTATTCATTCATCCTTAACCAGAGTTCCTGACAAGTCTTTGGTGAAGTAACTTTGATAAAAAAAAAAAAAAAGGCATTAAGAGACCCTCCTGGCCCAACCCTAGACACTCTAAGATCCTTTCTGAAACTTGCTCCCACTTCAATTTCAAGTCAAGATAAAAAGGGCTCGAATGGTACGATCCCTAGGTACAGAGTTACCTTTGTTAGGAAGCGATTTACCCCAATCTGAGACTTCCCAGCGTGAATTCAGATTAGTCGGGCTCCAATATTGGTACCAGACACCGGAGGGGAAATAAAAAAAAAGGTGCATCAACTTGTTGACCATGAACAATGAAACTCTTTTGAGGGTACAAATGTCATTTTACACAAGCCAATATTAGCTAGTGTTTTTTTTTAATTCAACTCTTGTCTACACCATATGTTTTTCAATGCATATTAATAAGACAACTCATCAGTCTACACAATTGAATAATCTCATTTTTTTTCTAAATCACTTCTACTTCCAATCATCATATACTCATGAAAGCTCAATATCCTTCTGTTCCAATTTTACTACTAATCATGGCGATACTCATTATGAGCCAATTCTCAAGTTGCCATAACATCCAAAGAATGACAACTACAACAACAAAACAAACATACAGAGACTTAGATTCCAGGTACTCATGGCATCTCTCTGCATCAGATCCTAAAACATCAAGAAATGAAGATATTAAACAAAGCTACAGAGTTTCAAATCACGCCGTTCCGGGAGGACCAAACCCTTTACACAATTGAATTGATTTGATTGTATTCTTCACGCATCTTAGTGTCTCTACAAAATCACAGGTTTTGCAGTTAATTGTGTCATATTGTTCCAAGTAATACTGTATAGAGAGAAGTTTTTTGTTCTCCTTGCTTTTGCCTTTTGTTTTTTGAAGTTTTATGTATTCATTAACTAAATGTAAAAAGTTGCCTTAGTACTTTCTTCTCAGTTATACACTGCAGTCTGCAGCACTTGCTCTTTTCTGGCAGGGGATCTTGATCCAGTTATCATGTGATCTTTAAAAATATATATCTTTTGTAACTTACACAACTTTAAGATAATAATAAAAGGCTATAGATAATGAAAGGAGAGAAACATGCCAAAAGATAAATTTCTAATATAGTAGTCCCTCCGTTTCAATTTGTTTGTCTGATTTTGACTTGACACGGAGTTTAAGCTAGTAAATAAGACTTTTGAGTCTTGTGCTCTTAATCTACAGATATGTAGAATGTATCAAAATGCACTTTAATCTTGTGGTCTTAAATATGTCATGTGTTGCTAAGAAAAAGAAGAAGAGACATCCCTTTTTAAAGAGACTAAAAAGGAATGTAAGACGGACCGATTGAATGAAGGGAGTAGCTAATAACCAATCACATTGGGATCACTCACCCACTTTGATTAAAGTATATGTCCATTCAAAACAAAAGCTGCAGCTGATGCAAAGAAGTCAACTAACTAGATTCGAAAGCAGACAGTAAGCTAAATATTTCTTCCTTATTTTCTAAGACTGGTTAATAAATTTTTAAGCAAGAATAGCCTTACTGGTGGAGAAGCCAGTTAGCTTTTCGATCCATCGGATATATTATTATACAAATTAGAAAAAATAAACAAGGGTGTACTATAGTCTATAGTAATTTGTACATCCACATAGGAAGATTCAATTAGTAAGTTCTCCAAGCAGTCCAACATTTCATTTTGAAGTATTTCGAGGTGAATTCCGGATGACAATCTTGATATGAGGCAATCGAAAGATTAACTTTTTCCCTATCCTGTGAGAATTATGTCTGCTATGAGAAACACAAGATGCAAAATTATTTAATGGATCTGAAAAAGTGACTTCTTCGATCCTCGAAATTAAAAGACAGATACATGGTTTTGCTAGTGTGCTCCTGGATAAAAACTAAAAAGATGGGTTTTCAACGAGGCTTATTTCCAACATTCTGGAAAAAAATCTTTAGTAGAATGTCCGAATAAGTCAACTCATTTTGCTTTCCCACAAGATCTTCAAGTAAGTAACTGGAGCCTAACGACCACAAGATTACACACACCATTGTATTTATATACTACCCTATACATAGCATGTATGTCACGCAACTGAAAATGTTGTATTACAGTGTATTTACTAACTGGATGAGATTAATTCCAGTTCAGTTAAAACAGAAAAATGATGCAAAAGCCATAAAAAGATACTACATAATCACTAAATAATGTAGTTGATGAGGCAAAGCTGAAACACAATTTAAATAATGTAGTGATTTAGATGCTAACCTGCTGATTGTCCGGAAGAGGCATCTCAAAGCCACCGCGGTTGGTCAATATAAAAAATAAGATGTTTAAATGCTTTATATGTAACTCAGGTCAAAGGAGCTCAAGTGAACCAGCAATGGGGTGAAAGTTTTGCTACATAAGCTCTGTGCCCACTGGATCAATCGAAAAATGAACAGAAAGATGTTTTTGGACAATTGGCCGAAACTTAGATCTCCACATCTGCTTTCAATAAACACAGCGTTCAGATTTTGGCAACTAGATTCATCATCATCAAGTCATGAAATTTAGGCCAAAGCTACTTCTAGCTTCCTTTAAACTTCAAAATCATTAAACCAATGATCTCGGCATGTTTATCATAATAGTAAATCAAGCCATGCTATAGGAAGTGTTATTTTCAAACTTAATCTATATTTTAACCTAAACATTAAAAGAGGCTTCAAACATAAATATAAACATCGGAATCTTGTATGTTAAATCTCTAAAAGATAATCTGAACTTTTCTGCTAAAGAACAACTAAGTTAGAGAGTGATTCCTTTGGAATATCTTTTGTTACAACTGACAAATAATGTAATATGCTAATGATTCCAAGAGTGGATAACCTGCCATTGATTGAGCGCACTTACATTATTATATTCTGAACTGTTCATGAACATCTGGAAGGCCTCCGCTGATGAATAAATACACAGTTAGATGTTGGAAATATTTCAAATTGCAAGTTAAAGGAAAAAAAGATGAGAGCTCACTAGAGAGAAACCGTATTACTACACCATGAGTATATTCCGCACTGGAAATGTTAAAATTTGAACCTGAAAATGTGAAGTAATATTTCTATGAGGTGCTGGGGAACTGACAGAGAAAATAGAACCAGGGGAACAAGTGATGTGGACAGGAAATGCTGATCTGATCAGTGACAAAATAATCAAATGTAAACGGATTAATAAAATCCCTTTAGGTTATTAAGTATATCTAATCTCCAACTTTAATTTCAAAAATATGCCTCCATATGGCTTCTAACAAAAAAAGAAAATAAAGCATGTCAATTGGGGAAAATCTACAGATAAGAATGTCATCGGTAAAATATTCCAGGAATACCGATAGTAGCCTGAACAATCAAGGATGGGAAATCCATTGTCAGCTTTGACAGAGCGAGCAAAGCATCTTCGGCAGGACCATCCAAAGAACTCTTACCAAATGCTATGAGAAGTACAAGCTCCACACCATAGTTGAACTCCTGCCACCCAAAGACTATCATATGTCTCATTTTGATACCAAGAACCTACCCGCACACTAATGCTTTCTGCAAATTACTAAAACTACTGAAAGACGGGCAAGAGAAAGATAGGTAGGATTGTTTGAGAAATCTCATTTGTCAAATTTGAAAACCACCAAGTAGTAGACATTAAAGAGTGAAAATCTATAAGTATGAGGGTAAGCCTCATTGTTGGGAATCAATAATTGACCTATTTCAGAAGAAGTCTGGTGATTAGCCTATTCCGCATTAAGTATATTAGAACAAAAGTCAATTGGATGGCCAAAAGGAATAACAACTCTAACTACAAAGTTCAAACATCCAGCGAGGTTCAAATAAATGGATATGTTTCAACCTCCCCTTTTCGAAATATTGACAGCATGTCATCTTCTACTTCGGACTCAAAGTCGGCATTGATAATCTCCTGTCAACATGTAAAACTGAAAAGTTTCAGGATATGGATTTCATCTGCAACGCAACTAAAGTATACAAATCAAATGGCACAGAGGATTTTGTTCTTTACATGTTAGGGCATACATGGCAGTAAGGCACAACATGGTCCCTAAGGACACCCACATAGAATTGATTCTCATAAAATTTCAATAGATCCTTCTTTGTTTGAAAGCGCATGTAGATACCGTGGCTATATTTATCATCATTCCCACCAGAGACGCGTCCTACAGCAGGAAATAAAATATAAAACAAACATTTACAAAATACACACCACAAAAGGCATCATTTCCCTACTTCATGCAAAACAAACTTGAAAGGAAGACTGAAGTGAAGCTTCTCTGCGAGTAAAACAAGCTTTATAGATTGTTCAGGATGAGAAGCATAGGGATTTAACCCAAACAATTGAAGTCAAATTACATAAAGAATGTCTCCAAGAAAATATGCAGTACTTTTGTATTTGCTCTGAATAAAGTGGATATTTTATTTTCCTACATATACATCTCTTTCTTCATTTTGCGACTCGACTTTGGAGAAGTTTTAGTATTTTCCTTAAGAAAAAAGTTTAGACTCCTCTGTATTTCTGCCTAGGACTTGACTACATTTTTAATAGAACTCATACTGCGCTTACCAGACAAAGTAAAACAAATTAAAGAACTCGAGTGATATTTCATTGAGCACAACTAAAGCAAAAACTCACAGCCCTTATTATATCTTGTATAAGTCAAACAAGAAGTAACTTTGACCTAATGAGATGGAAACAATGCCACCCATTTGATATTGGGTTGTATAAAGGTAGTCCAGCATATCTTTCTCTTGTACTTCAGATAAGTCCTCCTTTCCTTTGATCAGACTCACGTGTTCAACTACTTTTCTGCAAGCAGCAAAGCAAGTTGTTTCTTCAAGAACAACTTGAGAAAACATAATACAAAAAGAAACAATAACAAGATGCAAACTACATTCAAGATTGGGATATACGGCTGAAAGAAATTGAATATTTCTATAAAGTTAAATGGAAGATTAGTTGATTAAGTTATACCCAGTATTACAACAATTGCTGGAAGTTCCTCTCTCATGAAAATTCTCTTATAATTATCCTCATCTTTGGAGGGGAGACTTGGAGCAATGAGTAAAAAAATCTTCAACCTATAGATAACGGGTTTGAGTTGTGGAATTAGCCGCTAAAGCGGGTCTGGGTAGGTTGCCTATTTTACAACTCCTTGGGGTGTAACTCTTCCCCAAACTCTATGTGAACACAAGATGCATTGGATTTGGGCTACCCTTTTAATTATACTCATCTTTCATTGCAAACGTTCTTAAATGTTCATCCCCATGCCAAATATGAACAAAACGCAATGGAAATCAAATCTACACTAAATATGTGGAGATGAATATCACAATCTAGAATTTTCAAGGTAAAGGTAACTGATGCAAGACTCATTAAGATCTAAAGATTCAAGATAAGTATAAAACAGTGCACTGTGCAAGACAAAAGAGAAATGTAGAATCTTTCCATTGTTATCAAAAAAATAATAATTGATAACTATGGTGTCGAGGCCAACTTTTGCATATCGACTAATTTCACAGGATACCTTCTACCAGCAACAGATATCTGGTAACTCTATCCACCAAGGCTAGAACATCTAGGAAGACATCACCTAGTATTTTCTTTTCGTCTCTACTGGGATTTGAACGAGATACCTCATGGTTCTCAACGCACTTCATCAACCACTAGGTCACACCATTGGGTGATTCTATTGTTATCAAATTAAACGTACATAATATCCTTTTCCCCTTTAACATTTTATTTCAAATAAACCAGAAGACTATTGCACATTAGCACGACAACTTATCCTTGATTAAATAAATTTAAGCTACTGAAGTCATATATTAATTATAGAGACTCAAACAATAAAGCTACATTCCAAAATCATCAATCTCTTACTGAATGCAGCAACAACATATGATTTTTTTTTTACATCCAATTCACAATTCAGCATCAGTATAAAACTTTAAGAAGATTTAAAGTACACCAACCTTTTCCGTTTCGCATCATTATCAAAACTCCATCGATCAGCAGCCGAGCATATCACATTGCGATTCTTACTTCGCAATCCATGATTTGCCTTCAAAACACGACTACCCAAAGCTGCAACTGCAGAGAAAACAGAGGAAATTAACAGTTAGTATGGAAAACCATAGAAAATTGCAATTTCATAAACTGAAACTTGAACAATCCATTAATATAAAATTACCATTCAATTTGGGGGTTTTGTTAACTGAAAAAGGAATTAAATTGAAGGGTTTAGGAGAAGAAATTAGGGTTTGAGTATGATGAATCTGCATTTTGATTTTGTGTGGAGTAAAGGCTAACGCTCATTGTTCCATTTATAAAAAAATTGAGATACTTTAGCAGTGAAATGGGTGGACTAGGAAAAATGGAATGGCGCTAAATATACTTGTTTATTTTGTCGGTTAATTTAACAGAAAAGATTCGTATTTTTGAAATTAAGCCTATGGTTAATAGTTTAGCATTTTATGTGTGCGTGGTTAATACTAAACAAATAAAAATAGAGAGAAAGAAAGATGAGGGATTTTATGACTCGTTGGGGAAAACTCAATCACTCCCTGCACTATATTAGTGGCAAAGATAGATGTAGCTTATTTGCTATTTGTTTAGTATTGACTTAATTTTTCAAATGAAGAAACCGTTAATAATATTGGACATCTAAATAAAGTGGACGGAGGGTATATATATATATATATATAATACATAAATATGCTCTTTAACTTGATTTTAGTTGGTATCTATGAGACTATGACTTTCAGTTTTTGGGTGTGTACAAATAGAACAAATAGACACAACGTCTTACGTACATGGTGAACACAAATCAGTTCGTCATATAAGGCGCATGTGTCTAATTGTTCAGCTCTATACATGCATTAGCCTAGTGTATTAAAAAAATAATGCATGCATTAACCTTGTTTGGTACTCTTTTCCAACCTATGTATAACTAATGTTTGCATCAGTTATACACTCCATATTGTATTAAGGTGTGTATTGCTAATACCATGGATTTCTAGGTATTAGCAATGCAATGGTTTTAATGCATGCATTAACACGACCCAATTACCCCTCAATACCATACCTTTTTTTATATCTATTCCAGCATAATAATGAAGGGTATCTTTGTAAATAATTTTTTTTAATGCAATGCATTCTATATTTAATTCATCAAACCAAACAATGCATAAAAATGATCTATGCATAATTAATGCAAGCATAACTAATAGGCCTAACCTATCGGGCCCCTTCTAAAGTTGGCACTAACTTTCACTTAGACACCTCAACTAGACTTTGTTCATTTTAGATACCTCATGTCATGTTTCGGTGTGTCATTTTGACACTTTTTTTATAATCAGCCAAGTGTGCAAGGTGTGTGTAACACACTCGCCGATGACATGTTAAAATGACTAATTAAATAAAGACACGTGGCATATATATTGAAAATAATGATTTTTTAGTAGCCCCACCCCCACCCCCCGAATCCCAACCTCTCCCCATTAATCTAGATTGTCTTTCTCCAAAATACTTTCATAGTAATTTAATTATTTAGAAAAAAATATTTTACGAAAGCATAATCTCTTTGCAAAAACTAATTCATCTTACTTGGAACTTCAAATAAAAATTATATCTTCAAATCTAAACATAGAGTTTCCTATTAAAAAGAATTTTGTATTTCAATTATTTTCAAAACATCTTGAGGAGGAAGAATGACAACAAAATAAGAAATATTGTTTAAGCTTGAAATCTCTTGGTATTGTAGTACCATTAGATCCATTTCTCCATGGAAGGAGTTTAAGTTATAGAAAATGGTGGCTAAAATGGGGAAGAAGAAGAAAAAAAAAAGGTTAAATAAGCTCTCGATCATGCGCTGGTAAGGAGTGTACCACACTCACTATGTCATGTCAGCAAAAAGTGTTAAAATGACACAGCGAGACATGACATGAGGTGTCTAAAATGAACAAAGTCTAGTTAGAATGTCTAAGTGAAAACTAGTGTCAACTTTACGGGGCCACCGATGGGTTAGGCCTAACTAATACATGCATTGCTAATGCAAGCATCACTAATACACTCTATTTAACATTATTTTTATACACTCTATCAAACGACATGGTACAAATATAAAGTTAGAGATTATAAATGATCAAAATGGTCCTTGATATATTGGGGTTGCTTTATTTTGGTCCTTAATATATTCTAGGTAGGGTTGGGTATAAACATCGAGAAACCGAAATACCGAACCGAACCTAATTATTTTGATATTTTGATTTCGATATTTCGGTTTTCGGTTCGGTATATATTTTTGTATTTTTCAATATTTCGATTCGGTTTTCGGTATGTAATTTTGCATAATTAAGTATTTCGGTGTACCGAAATATATTATACTATATTTATAATATTATTAATATTAAATAAAAATAGGTAAAATTAGGTCCAACTTTAACTTTTCAGCTTTTCTTAGCATAGTAGCCCTCAGCCGCACATCAGCCTTTAGTCTTTGACTCTTTTTCACTTCGCCCTTCGGTACTTCCCACGTCTTTTGGTGACCGGCCGACCATAACGCAGCAGGCCAGCACGCACCACGCAGGCAGCAATCATCATGCAGCAGCGAGCCAGCGATCAACATCACGCAGCAGCGACCAACATCACCTAGCAGCCGATCGGCGACCACCATCTGCTGACCGACGACCACAATTAGGTATTGATCATTGTATTTGTGAAGACACTAACTACAATGCACTTTGTTTTAGTGACATTGTTAATTAAAAATTTGTGTGTTTTAGTGACATTGTGAATTAAAAATTTGTTGTGTTAATGCCTAATGTAAGATTGGCAGTATGGCACTTCGTTTTGACTTTTGATGTGAGCTTCTTTGGTGTTATTTTAATTTACTACATAGATGTGAGCTTCTTTGGTGTTAATGCCTAATGACTGATTGACAAATTGGACTTATGGTATCTTCTTTGGTGTTATTTTACAAAATATTGCAGCTGCTATGACATAACAATGTAACTATTTTTAGCCCATTAAGCTGAAAAATCAAATAAAAAAATGGATAAACTACCTTATTAGACATACATCACTATTATATATACTAATATTATCTTTACTTTCAAACAATTACATATATTACCACTTTTAATATTTTATACCATATATTAATATATTATTTGAAAATACAATTAGATTATTAGATACCCACATATCTTAAAACTAGGATTGATTAATTATCTGCTTAATTAACTCATTCACTCCAAATCAACCACTATCTCTTAATTCTCCCCTCCCATAATTGTCACTCAATTATGTCTCCTCCTTTATGATTCAAGAATTTCATCGTACAATTTCATTCCAACAATAGCTAATTTACTCTCTTCTTCTCAAGATATCATCACCATGGCCGACAAATTCTCCTGAACTCAAATATTATTTTGTATTGTTCATTATAACTAGATCAAATCAAAGTAACTGCTACATAGAAAACTTTAATTCAGAGTGCGTCTTGATTAGAGAGAGAGAGAGAGAGAGAGAGAGAGAGAGAGAGAGAGAGAGAGAGAGAGAGAGAGAGAGAGAGAGAGAGAGAGAGAGAGAGAGAGAGAGAGAGAGAGAGAGAGAGAGAGAGAGAGAGAGAGAGAGAGAGAGAGAGAGAGAGAGAGAGAGAGAGAGAGAGAGAGAGAGAGAGAGAGAGAGAGAGAGAGAGAGAGAGAGAGAGAGAGAGAGAGAGAGAGAGAGAGAGAGAGAGAGAGAGAGAGAGAGAGAGAGAGAGAGAGAGAGAGAGAGAGAGAGAGAGAGAGAGAGAGAGAGAGAGAGAGAGAGAGAGAGAGAGAGAGAGAGAGAGAGAGAGAGAGAGAGAGAGAGAGAGAGAGAGAGAGAGAGAGAGAGAGAGAGAGAGAGAGAGAGAGAGAGAGAGAGAGAGAGAGAGAGAGAGAGAGAGAGAGAGAGAGAGAGAGAGAGAGAGAGATACATAAAATCACTACTAGATACCTATAACAAATACATGAAATTAATGCTAGATACTTCTATGATACATATGAATGTACTTGCATGACACTCATGTATCTAAGTGTTTAGTTTGTTGGATACATCATATATTGATAATAGATACATCAAATTAATGAATTTATTATTTTAAGAGTAATAATTTGAAATTAATCAAATTGCATTACCAAGATATACATGTTTTTATCTTATATTAATAATATTAGTGAATTTACTATATTAAAGAATAATAAAATGAAATTAATTATCTATGTATTTTGAAAATCCTCAATTACTCCTCTAATTAGGGAAATTAGTTCCAAACAATTAATTTAAATAAATAAATTTTGTATCTCAATTTTAAAATTCGGCAGATACATGTATCTCATGGATTCAGACTCATGTATCCTAAGCATAAAATATGGTACATGAAGTAATATTTGAAACTATTGGGAATCTTAATAATTAAGACCTAAACTAGTGGGATTTATGTGGTTTGCCCTAAAAAAATTGTAAAATTTTAAATATTAAAAAGCCCACTAAGCAGGCCCATAAAAAAAAACCTAACCAAACCGAAATAACACAAATCGAATCGAACTAAAAAAACCAAACCGAACCGGAATAATTCGGTTCGGTGTTCGGTACACGTTGTACAAGAATCGAAAATCAAAAAACCGAAAAAAATACCCGAAACCGAACCGAATTACCGAATGCCCAACCCTAATTCTAGGTGATTGAAATAGTCCTTCATGTATGACAAAATGTGTTCAATTTAGTCTTTTACCCAAAACTTAACAATTTACCTCCTAAAACTGTAAAATATAGTGGTAGGCCCCACATAACTTACAAAATCCACCATTTTTACCATCTTTATTAGCTCAAAGAAAGAGTTTTATGAATTCTAAAACACCATTTTCTCTAACATCTAGCCACACAATTACAAAATAATTATTGTAAAAAGGTTGGGAGATATGATGAACGAAATTAGTCCGTGTTTCTGATTGAACAGTGGCAGATAACACCTTTCTTTTTTGCCCTACTGATCTCCCATTATTATTATTTTATATTTTTATGTTTTATTGCCAGATTTGTGGAAAATAGCTCAATGATTGTATGCCTTTTGGCAATATACGCTATACCAATCTAAAGCACGAGTAGATGATTATTTTTCAAGTATGAGGGCAATCTGTATTTTCTGCTAATGCTTTATGATCTATTTGAAACTGTTCTATTGTGAAATTTCTAAAAATTATTTGTGTCTTTTGTTGTGATGAATTCATGAAAATTTCACATGTCAGACTTCAGAGAGAGTTATTTTGTAATTGTGTGGTTAGATGTTAGAGAATATGGTGTTTTATAATTCATGAAACTCTTTCTTTGAGCTAATAAAGATGGTAATAATGATGAATTTTGTAAGTTATGTAGGCCCCACCATTATATTTAACAGTTTTAAGGGGTATATTGTTAAGTTTGGATAAAAAACTAAATTGAATATATTTTGTCATATATGAAGGACTATTTCAAATACCTAAAATATATCAAGGACCAAAATAAACAAGAACCATTTTGATCATTATCTCCTAATATATTACCTCTATTTTCTATATGATTCTTCATAACTTTTCCCAAGTCAAAGTCTTTTACAAGCAAAGCCCCATTTATTGACTAATGAGTAAACTATATTGACTAGTCGTTCTTAGCTGGCCAGCCTTATTTACAAATTCGATCTCTCTCGTTCATTGTTATTGTCACATTAATTAATTCTCAAAGCAAATATGAGAAATCATATCATCAAATCCTTCTTCATATTTCTTTATGTGATGACTAGTTACGTCTTCTCAACACAAGCAGACACAATAATAGAAATACGAAACAATTGTCCCTTCACGGTATGGGCTGCAGCCGTCCCCGGTGGGGGACGACCACTCGAGTATGGTGGAACATGGAAAATCGAGCCAGACATCACAGCCGTGAGCTCAACTAAAAAAGGTCGTATTTGGGGCCGAACCAATTGCAATTTTAACACATTTGGCCGTAGTCAATGTCAAACGGGGGATTGCAATGGACTACTCCCCAGTCACTTTGGCTGAATACGCGTTGAACCAATTCAACAATAATGATTTCTTGGACATATCTCTTGTTGATGGTTTCAACATCCCTATGGAATTTAGTCCAGCATCCGCTGATGAGTGCTCTGTCAGGATCAGATGCACCGCGGACATCATAGGACAGTGTCCGAATGAATTAAGGACTCCTGGAGGATGCAACAATCCTTGTACTGTTTTCAAGACGGCCGAATATTGTTGCACGTCTGTAACTTGTGGTCCGACCAACTATTCGAGGTTCTTTAAGGATAGATGTTCAACTTCTTATAGTTATCCTATGGATGATTCAACTAGTACCTTCCTTTGTCCCGGTGGAACTAGCTATAAAGTGGTATTTTGTCCATAAATTAAACATATGCCTATTCTTTAATTGTTGTTTCTTAATTAGGACTTTTGAAATTTCTATGTAAGTAAATCATTATATTGAGAATATAAAGATCTAATTTTTACATTTTAGTTCTCAAAATTCTTATTCTTTGCTTAGTTAACTATTCAGCCTATTTGTTCTTGTTTTCTTGACTTAGCCAAAAGAAAAAAAAAGAAGTTTGATCGAACCTAATTCACGTGCTTTTAATCTCTATTTCCACAAATTTTACCTCGTTTACATATTCAAGATTTTTTAAGCAAACAATTCAGTGATTAATTAGTATCTTTTTTCTAGTGGATGTTCTACAAAGTAATATCCTCGTGACGAATATAATGAGAGTATTCTTGATATGTTAAAAGTGATAATTAAAAGTCATGAAAATCTATATTTAAAAGGGAAAAGGCTCAAATATGTCATCGGACTTTGTGATCAAAAGACTCATTTATGTCATCCGTTAAAAAATTGGTTCATCTATGACAAATCTATTTGAGCAAATGACCATTCATGTCATTATTTATAAACTGAAATGACATAGATGAGCCAAACCTTAAACATATGACAAAAATGAGTTTTTCTCAAAGTTCGACGACATATTTGAGTCTTTTTCTTTTAAAAAATAATTTGATTAATAATGTGGTCGAATCATAATTGACCACGTAAAAAATGATTTTGCAAAACCGAAACATTTTTCAGTTTACAAATAATGGCATGGATGAGCTTTTCTCAAACAAAAATGACATAAATGAGTCAAAACTTTAAACGAATAACATAGATAAGCTTCATCTCAAAGTTCAATGACATATTTGAATCTTTTATGAACAAGTAAAAATAAACCGAGGATATTTCATTTTCTATATATTACGCTTAGATATTTATAAATTCATGGTACATAAAGTCAAAAGTCTCCCACTCTCTTTTTTGTGTCCTCTCAATTATAGTTAAAGCACCATTTATTGACTAATGAGTAAACTTTACTTTATCTGTTTCTATTTATATATCGTTCTTATTAAAAATAAATAAGTATTATTTATTATTTGTCATTTCACAAAATCAATACATAAATAACACTATTCTGTCTATTTTATCCTTGAGAGTTATTACTCTTGAAAGTATAAATATGACCAACATAGGAAAAATAAATTATTAGTTCATGTTCATTTGTCAATTTAATTAATCAAAATAAACTACTTAACTTATATTCATTTATTGAAAACTTAACTTCAAAAAGAAACGTAAAATCCAAAATAGTGACATATAAATAGTAACGAATTTGTTAATATTGGAGATTTAGTGAATCAGGGAACTCCATTAATGGAGAGAATCTGGAACTCGAAGTAAGAGAGAAGATATGGTTTGTGAATTTTCCAATTCTGATTAGTTCTTACTGACTGTTCACATCAATATTTATACAGAATACAAAAGGAAGAGTAAAATATCTAAAACCTCTAACTAACTATTAACTAACATGACAGCTGTACATAATAACAAATGCGGTTAACTAACTAACTATACTTTAATCTCAATACCCCTCTCAAGTTGGAGGCAGAATAGACATAGCCAACTTGTCCAATAAAGTGCAGTGCTTGATGCCAGTGAGGGCCTTCGTGAGTATGTCTGCTAACTGAGCAGTAGTGCCAATATGATGCAATGTTATAAGGCCTTCTTGAAGCTTGGTTCTTACAAAATGGTAGTCCACTTCAATGTGCTTGGTGCGCTCATGAAAGACAGGGTTTTTGGCAATATGAATAGCTGCTTGGCTATCACAGTGAACATGAAAGGGGCCAAGGCTAAGTAAAGTCAATTCCTCAAATAACCTTTGCAACCAGACCAATTCTCCTACCACTTTCCTTAAGGACCTGTATTTTACTTCAGCTGAGGAAAGGGAAATTGTTTCTTGCTTCTTGGACTTCCAACTAATGGGACTATCACCCAACAACACAATATAGCCAGTGACAGACTTTCTCGAATCAGGGCAGGCAGCCCAATCAGAATCACAATAGGCAGATACCCTGAAATCTGCAGATGAGGACATGAAAACTCCTAGAGTAGGATCCTTCTTGAGGTATCGAAGCATGTGAAAAGCAGCACGCAAATGAGGCTCTCTGGGGTCCTGCATATACTGGCTAAGTAATTGCACACTATAAGCCAAATCAAGTCTAGTGTTAGTAAGAAAATTGAGTTTGCCAACTAGTTTTCTGTATTGAGTAGGGTCATTTAGTGCCTTTCCCTCATTTGCTCGCAGCTTAACATTAGGATCAAGGGGAGAAGACAAGGGAGTGGAGTGATCACAACTGAATTCTTTGAGGAGATCCAGAACAAACTTCCTCTGGGAAATAAGAATCCCATCATCCTTGTATAGAATTTCCAATTCCAAAAAGTAGTGTAATCTTCCCAGGTCTTTGATCTTAAACTGATGATGAAGGAACTTCTTGAGCTCAGTTATCTCATCGATATCTGTTCCTGTGAGAAGAATATCATCAACATACACACCTAGAAACACAATAGATGTGCCTCTCTTTCTGTAAAACAGGGAGTAGTCATGGAGAGAATGAGTGTAGCCTCTTGTGTTTAAAGCCTCAGTTAGTTTTTCATACCACTGTCTACTAGCTTGTTTCAAACCATATAGTGACTTGTTGAGTTTACAGACCATGCCTGTGTTAGGAACAGTCAAACCAGGAGGTATGTCCATGTACACTTCTTCATGCAAATCTCCATGGAGAAAGGCATTATTAACATCAAGTTGATATATATTCCATTATTTCTTTGCTGTAGTGGCAATAAGTGTCCTTACAGTTGTCATTTTAACAACAGGTGAGAAGGTTTCTGTGTAATCTATGCCATGATGCTGAGTATATCCTTTCACTACCAATCTGGCCTTATATCTCTCCACACTCCCATCTGCCTTGTGTTTAATTTTGTAAACCCACCTACACCCAATGGCATTATTATCAATTCGTAAGGCTGTGAGAGTCCATGTATTGTTGTTATGTAATGCATTGAATTCCTGTGTCATAGTTGTTTGCCAAGCAGGGTCTATAGCTGCCTCCGCATATGAACTAGGCTCACAATCATGAGATACATTCATTACAAGAGACTGACTTTCAGGATTTAGAGCAGCAGGTGATATGTGGTGGTTAAGGGAAAAATAAGCATTGAGGGATGTAGGAGGTTAGGAGGATATGACTGAAGGTGTTCTATGGACATAGTCAGACAAGTAAGTAGGTATTCTATGTATTCTATAAGACCTTCTAAGGGTAGGTCTAGTAGGATGGCAAATAGGTATGGAATCATGAGGTAGAGTGGAGGACATGTTGGGATTAGAAGGACTAATTGGACAAGCATTTGGAGTAGAGAGTGTTGGTGACAAAGGTTGATTAGTGCTGTCTACAGGACCTGGATCACTTTGTACAGGTGTGGAGGAATGGTGGTAATATGAGTAATCAGATGAGCCTACAGAATGGAAAAGAGATGCAGGAAAATGAGTAGGATCATTGGTCATAGCAAAAGGAAAAATTGTCTCATGAAAGATAACATCCCTGGAAATATGAATTTTCTTAGTGGTTAGATTTAGCACTTTATATCCCTTTGTACACGATGGATATCCAATAAAGATATGTGGAACAGCTTTGGGATCAAACTTGGTTCTGTGGGCTTTGGGTACAGTAGAGTAACAAAGGCAGCCAAAACTCCTCAAGTTAGAGTATATAGGCTTGTGTTGATGCAAAACTTCATAAGGGCATTTATTGGTGAGAGAGGTGGAAGGTAGTCTGTTTATCAGGTGTGTTGCAGTTAATATGCATTCACCCCAGTACTTCATTGGGAGTTTTGATTGAAAATGGAGGGCTCTTGTTGTTTCAAGGATATATTTGTGTTTTCTTTCCACCACCCTATTTTGTTGGGGTGTGTATAGGCAGGATTTTTGGTGAAGAATTCCTTTAGTCTGGAAAAACATGATGGACTCATTATTGTTGAACTCAAGGCCATTAGCTGATCTGATTACTTTGACATTGGTTTTGAATTAGTTTTCAACCATGATGACAAAAGTTTTAATAACATGCAAGGCATTGCTTTTACAGCTGAGAAGATGTGTCCAAGTGGACTTGCTAAAGTCATCTACCATGTAATGAAATATTTGAAATTATCATGGGTGGTTGTTTGGTAAGGACCCTATAAATCAACATGTACCAGCTCGAAAATGCTAGTACTGTTATGAGACCTGGTAGGGAAGGGTAGTCTTGACTGTCTTTCCATAGGGCAAATGAGGCAAAAAAATGGTTATTTAGGTGAGAAATTTACAGGTATAGAGGATATGCCTTTCATTTTTACTAAGGGAACATGTCCTATTCTATAGTGCCATAACAGGTTTGTGTTAGGTTTGTGTTATCAACAGGAAAAGAACTTGAAGTTTTATCAACAATATTGTATTTATTATTGATAGACATGGAATCCATTACAGTAGGATAAGAAGGACAAGAAGAAGAAATACACTTGTACTACATTTTAGAGCTAGGAAAGGAAATACAAGAAACATGTTGTAGTTTTGGATGATTAGAACTGTTCTATTGCAAGCAATCTGAGCAAAGAAAGTATAGGCCATCATGTGCTTTACCAATCTCTAGAGGCCTCTTCAGTGAAGGGGCCTGCAGTAGACAAGAAGTATTAGAGAAAGAACCAGTCCATTTAGAGTGTCAGCTAGAGTATTAATGAAAATTAAGTTGAATTTAAAAGAAGGAGCATATAGTACTTTGTACAAAGTGATCTCAGAAGTTAGACACACACTACCTATCTCTGTAATATTAACTCTATATCCATTAGATAGTCTGACCAAGAGAGGATAAGGTAAGGTTATCAGGTTCACAAGGAGATTTCTGTCAAAGGTCATGGTGAGAGGCTCCTAAGTCTAATATCCATAGATCAGTTCTTGTTTTGAAGCATTCACGAGAGAGTTTGTCAAAGTCAATGGAAGTAGAACAAGTAAGAGTACCTGCAAAGTTCACAGCTCCTCTTGTCATGTGCATAGCATTTTGATCCTCCATGGGGCTGAATTCTTTGGATTGTTGCAGCAAGTGAGCAACCTGTTCATACTGGTCTTTGGTGAGGTTGATGTTGTTGTTTCCTTGGTCATTGAAATGAGACTCTGAGGATCCATCCTTATTTCGAGGGATATCACAAGACAAACTCACAGAATTAGCTGCTATACCCTTACCCTTGTTGTTCCTATGACTTGAGTTCTAGTTGTTGTATATTTGATTTTGATGTTGTGGATCATTATCAGGAGGTCTGGGATTGTTAGTAGTTGGACCAGGAGGATATCTATGTAACTTGTAACATTTATCCCTGGTATGACCTGGCCTTCTGCAGTAATCACAGTAAGGTCTACCCCTAGGTGCATTGCCAGTGATGTTGGAAGAAGAGTAGTTTGTTTTAAAATTCCTTCCTCCTGATGAATTTGAGGAACTTGAGGACCCAACAAGTAATGAACTTCCTTCAACAAACAATTGATTATTTGGCTTGAACTCTCTTTGTTTTTCTTCTTGAAACCAACAATGCAAAGGCTTGTGCCATGGAAGGCAATGGGTTCATCATTAAAATACTACCCCTAATTATGGTATAGACTTCATTTAACCCCATAAGAAACTGAATTAGATGCCTATCTTGCTCTGCCTTTTGAAGATTAGTTTTAGCTCCATAAATACACACAGTTGCACTGATCGGTAATGCATAAACTATTAAGTTCTTCCCAGAGTTTCTTCATTCTAGTGTAGTATGTGGTGATATCTAGAATACCTTGACTAAGATCGTTGATCTCTTTCTGAGTTTGGTACAACTTTGCTCCATTCGTCTGATCGTAGCGATCTTCTAGCTCTGTCCATAATTCCAAAGCATCACCCACATATTCGACACTATCTGTAATTTCTCTACCTAGTGAATTAAGAATCCACGACATGACCATATCATCGCATCTCACCCATTGGCGATAAGTTGGATCAGTTTTAGGTGGGCGTTTGCATTCACCATTGATGAAAATCAATTTATTTTTAACAGACAAAGATCTGAGGACACTTCTTCGCTGGAAATGAAAACCAGTTCCATTGAAAGGGACATGTACAAGTACCAAACCAGGATTATCAAATGGATGAATGTAGAGGTGACTATTTGTATCAATTCCAATAGACGATCCCGTATTAATTCTAGTAGATGATCCCTTATTCATGAGTGCCACCATGATGAAGTAGTTATCAGAAAAAAAATACCATACCAGTTGAAAAGAGAAGAGAATTAAATCGATAAGAGAAACAAATCTAGAATTGAAGATCTGGAAATCGATGACGCAAACGCAACTAAGAAGGAGTGTAAAGAGAAGGAAGAGAACGTCCTTGCTCTGATACCATGTTAATATTGGAGATTTAGTGAATCAGAGAACTCCATTAATGGAGAGAAACTAGAACTCGAAGTAAGAGAGAAGATATGGTTTGTGAAATTTTCAATTCTTATTAGTTCTTATTGACTGTTCACATCAATATTTATACAGAATACCAAAGGAAGAGTAAAATATCTAAAACCTCTAACTAACTATTAACTAGCATGACAGCTGTACATAATAACAAATTCGGTTAACTATCTAACTATACTTTAATCTCAATAGGATTGATGGAGTATTCATACTTGTCTTAGCTATTGCCACATTAATTCTTAAAGCAAATATGAGCTTCTTCAAATCCTTTTTCATATCCCTCTATATTATGACTTCTCATTTCTTCTCAATACAAGCAAACACAATAATTGACATACGAAACAATTGTTCCTTCACAGTATGGGTAGCAGCCGTCCCCGGTAGGGAATGATAACTCGAGTATAGTGAGACATGGAAAATTGAGCCAGACATGACCACGAGCTCAACTAAAAAGGGTCGTAATTGGGGCAAAACCAATTGTAATTTTGACACATTAGGCTGCAATCAATGTCAAACGGGGGATTACAATGGACTACTCGAATGTCAAACTTTTAGTAGTACACCCCCAAACACTTAATACGCCTTGAACCAATTCAACAATTATGATTTTTGGGCATATGTATCTCTTGTTGAGGGTTTCAACATCCCAATGGAATTTAGTCTGTGTCCGCGGATGAGTGCTCTGTCAGGATCAGATGCACCACAAACATCATAGGACAATGTCCGAATGAATTAAGGACACCTGGGGGACGTAACAATCCTTGTACTGTTTTCAAGACGGACGAATATTGTTGCACGTCTGGGAATTGTGGTGCGACCAACTATTCAAGGTTCTTTAAGGATAAATGTTCAACTTCTTACAGTTATCCTTTGGATAATTCAACTAGTGCCTTCTTTTGTCCCAGTAGAACTAGCTATAGAGTGGTATTTTGTCCTCAAATTAAATGGATCAAACATATTTTTGAGTTTGCTGACTTTTTCTCTATTCTTTAAAGCAAAATAGATAATTATAGAAAAGTAAATATGTTATTCTTATTTTGAACACGTACTCAAATTTCTTATTCTTTGCTTAGTTAAATATTCAACCCATTTATTCTTGTTTTCTTTTTTTTTTCCCTTCTCTTTTTTTTCTTTTTTTCCCCCCCCCCCCCCCCCTCCCCAAAAAAAAGGAGTTTGATCGAACCTAACTCACTTGCTTTTAACCCCTATTTCCATAAATTTTTACCTCGTTTACGCACTCACTACTAATTTTCCTGCAAACAATTCAGAGACCAATATTTTTTTTCAGCAGATGCCCTACAAAGTAATATCTCGTGACCAATATAATGAGAGTATTCTATATATATATATATATATATTTATTTATTTAAAATAATGGACAAATAAAAATAAACAAAGTAACTACTCCCTTTGTCCCAATTTATGTAACTTACTTTCATTTTTAATCAGTCCCAAAAAGAATGACACATTTCTATATTAAATAACAATTCAACTATAAAATGTCTATTTTACCCTTAATGAAATAATTTACATCCATACAAATTTTTATCATTTATTTTGAATCACAAGTTTTAAAAGTCTTTCTTTCTTTCTTAAATTTCGTATCGAGTCAAACTACCTCACATAAAATGAAACAGAGGGAGTAATATTTTCTATATATTACGCATCTTTAGATATTTATAATTTCATGGTACATAAACTCAAAAGTCTCCCTCTCTCTTTCTTGTGTCCTTTTCACACCATTTATTGACTAATGAGTAAACTCTACTCTCTCCGTTTCTATTTATATGTCGTCTTTACTTAAAATAAATATTTTTTAATAATTATCATTTCACAAAATCAATACATAAATAATATTATTTTTTCTATTTTACCTTTGAGAGTTATTAGCCTTGAAAATATAAATTTGATTAATATAGGAAAACTAAATGATTATTCATGTTCATTGGCCCATTTAATTAATCAAAATAAACTAATTTATGTTCATTTATTAAAACTTGACCTTAAGAGAACACTAAATAAGAGTATAATGGTAAGCTTATACTCCATCCATCCAACAATAGTTGTCTACTATATTATTTTGGGATGTCCAACAATATTTATCCACTGTATGAAATCAATGGATAATTTTACACTAAGTTCCTAATTTACCCTTATCATTAATTATAGTTATTTCTCTATTACATTTTTCAAGACATTGTATTTATTATTTTCAAAGGGTGATATAGTAAAATTACCAATCTATTTATAGTTTCTTAAGAAGTATGCATGCAAAGTCAATAGTGTACAAATATTATTGGACAGAGAGAGTATATAATTTTTTAAGAGACGTGAAATCTAAAATGATGATATATAGATAGAAACAGATGGAGTATTGATTATAATTCGTCTTTCCAAATTCGATCCCTCGTTCATTGTTATTATCATCATATTTATTCTTAAAGTAAACATGAGCTTCATCAAATCCTTCTTCATATCCCTTTATATAGTAGTATATATTATGACTTCTCATCTCTCAATACTAGTAGACGCAATAATCGACCTACAAAACAATTGTCCCTTCACGGTATGGGAAGCAGCCGTCCCCGGTAGGGGGCGACGACTCGAATACGGTGATACATGGAAAATCGAGCCAGACACAACCGCGAGCTCAACTAAAAAAGGTCATATTTGAGGTAAAACCAATTGCAATTTTGACACATCAGGACGTGGTCAATGTCAAACGGGGGATTACAATGGACTACTCGAATGTCAAACTTTAAGTAGTACACCCCCAAACACTTTGGCCGAATACGCCTTGAACCAATTCAATAATAATGATTTTTTGGGCATAACTCTTGTTGATGGTTTCAACATCCCTATGGAATTTAGCCCTGTGTCCACGGATGAGTGCTCTGTTAGGATCAGATGCACCGAGGACATCAGAGGACAGTGTCCGAATGAACTAAAGACTCCTGGAGGATGCAACAATCCTTGTACTGTTTTCAAGACGGACCAATATTGTTGCACATCAGGAAATTGTGGTCCGACTAAGTATTCGAGGTTCTTTAAGGATAAATGTTCAACTTGTTACAGTTATCCTTTGGATGATTCAAGTAGTACCTTTGTTTGTCCAGATGGAACTAGTTATAGAGTGGTATTTTGTCCATAAATTAAATGGATGAAACGTATGGAATAGAGTCATATTTGTTTTTGTACTTAAAAAGAAAAGGGTTATATTTACCTTTGTCATATATTTGTCTCAACCATCTAATTTTAGACACATATTTTCCTTTGAGAGTGTTAAGTTTCATCTCCCCTCTTTTATCATCCTACATAGCGTCTCGGTGGCATGCCTATATATATATATATATTGCCTTGGGAGTGTTAAGTTTCATCTACCCTCTTTTATCATCCTCCATGGCGTCTCGGTGGCATGCCTATATATTCCTTTGGGAGTGTTAAGTTTCATCTACCCTGTTTTATCATCCTACATAGCATCTCGGTGGCATGCCTTATATATATTTCCTTGGGAGTGTTAAGTTTTATCTACCCTCTTTTATCATCCTACATAGCGTCTTGGTGGCATGCCTATATATATATATATATATTTATATATTCCCTTGGGAGTGTTAAGTTTTATCTACCCTCTTTTATCATCCTACATAGCGTCTTGGTGGCATGCCTATATATATATATATATATATATTACTTAAATTTCCTTTGAATTGAAAATTATAAGAGAAGATTCATTAGTTTAGAAGGTAGCTGGAGGCTATGGCCCAATTATATATGAAAAACCCTTGCTATTTTTTTGTCAAAGAATTATTATTTTTTCTTGGGAATTGCGACAATGAAACAGGAGTATTAGGGGTAGGTTTTACGGATTAAATGGTTGGGTATAAAGGAAGTGTTTCCTAATATAAGGACAACAATTTCCTTTCTTCTACTAATATGGTAAAAAATGTCTTTTCATTTGCACTTTGCAATGACTTTTCATTTTATCTCCAAAATTGGTTCCCCCACTTTCCATTTTCTCTTCTTATTTCCCATTCACACCTTGCTAAACCCAACAATAATAAGAGAAGGTAAGATTCAAAAGAATTTTAAAAAAGTTTTTTTTTTTGTATTTTAAAAAGGGGCGGGAGGTATTTGTACTTGAATAACTATAAGCAAACCTTTCTAGATGTTTCGACATCGTGCTTAAAGGCATACCGGTTGAAGTAGATTCTTTTTTTGGTCGATCAAATCCCCTTCCCTTTGTGGAGATCTGTGTTTTTGGTAAATAGTCACCCGGGCCTGGTTAGTGTGACCCTCTTTGTGAGGAGGCACTCCCGAAGTTACGGGGCTATATATTTTGCGATAGATTACTCAACTTTTAAGTGCGGCCAGTATCTTTTACACATATGGATGCAGTGAGGGATTCGTCCATACTTCGGTAAAGTTTGGAAGACCTTGATTGATCCTGAAAGGGAATGAATGGTAAAAATAACATGTTGTATCAACGGAAAGTTCTGAAAATATTTCATTGTTCCTAGATGAGTATCAAACTGTGTTAGAATTCTTGAAACAGAACAAAATAAAGTTGGGTCGAATGAATAAATGGATAAGGTTGCGGCTTCAATTAAATTATAGGAAAAGAAAAAACAACAAACTTTTATTCTTAATTTGAATGATTCTAGTATTTACATGAGGTTCCTCTTTAAGAAAGTCCTCAAGAGAGTTTAGTTGATCCATGATTTTGTTTCATCTTTCGAATACCCTTTAACTTGACCATAGTTGATATCTATGAGACTATGACTTTCAGTTTTTGGGTGTACACAAATAGAACAAATAGACACAATGTCTTATGTACATGGTAAATACAAATCAGTTCTAGTGTATCTCACATGAATTGTCTTGTAGAACGTCATATAAATTAAAACACATGTGTCTACTTGTACAATTCTATACAAATTTAAGTGTTTTCTTATACAAATCCAAAATTAAAAATTATAAATGTTAGTTAATATCAAATTAGAATACACGCTAATATATTACATCTATTTTTTATATGATTCTTTGCAACTTTTCCTAAGTCAAAGTCTTCCTCTCTTTTAAAAGTTAAGCCCCATTTATTGACTAATGAGTAAACTCTATTGACAAGTCGTTCTTAGCTTAGCCTTATTTACAAATTTGATCTCTCTTGTTCATTGTAATTGTCACATTAATTAATTCTCAAAGCAAATATGAGTAATCGTATCATCAATTCCTTCTTCATATTTTTCTATGTTATGACTTCTCATCTCTTCTCAACACAAGCAAGCTCAACAATCGACATACATAACAATTGTCCCTTCACGGTATGGGCAGCAGCCGTCCCCCACAGCCGTGGGGGACGACAACTCGAGTACGGTGAAACATGGATAATCGAGGTAAACACAACTAAAAGTGGTCGTATTTGGGGCCGAACCAATTGCAATTTCAACACATTAGGCCGTGGTCAATGTCAAACGGGGGATTGCAATGGACTACTCGAATGTCAAACTTTTAGTAGTACACCCCCAAACACTTTGGCTGAATACGCTTTAAACCAAAACAGCAATAATGATTTCTTCGACATAGCTCTTGTTGAGGGTTTCAACATTCCAATGGAATTTAGTCCTGTGTCCGCGGATGAGTGCTCTGTCAGGATCAGCTGCACCGCGGACATAATAGGACAATGTCCGAACGAATTAAGGACTCCTGGAGGATGCAACAGTCCTTGTACTGTTTTCAAGACGAACGAATATTGTTGCACGTCTGGAAATTGTGGTCCGACCAACTATTCGAGGTTCTTTAAGGATAAATGTTCAACTTCTTACAGTTATCTAGATGATTCAAGTAGTACCTTCTTTTGTCCTAGTGGAAGTGGAACTAACTATAGAGTGGTATTTTGTCCATAAATTTATAAATGTATGAAACATATTTTCTTTAATTGTTGCTTCTAAATTAGGATGTTTGAAATTTCTATGTAAGTTTGGTTTACATCATTATCACTATCTATTGAGCTAAAAATTCATTGAGAAGTACTTACGTATTAAAGGAAAATGAAAATGAAAGAATATGAGGTGTTATTTTTGTATAGGGTAAAAACCGGGCTATACGGTAGGACCAGTCAAGATTTGAGTAATATATATGAGTAATTTGGCCTATTGGATATCGATTTTTGAATTTACTAATCTGTTAGCCAACTTATAAGATATCAATTGGTTCGATAATGAAATAGTAATTATCGGACGGTTATCGGGCGATGTAACGGCTAACTTTTAATCTCTATGTTACTTTTTGTTTTCGATGAACACACCTTATAAAAAAGATGACTTCTTTTCACTATTTTAAATGCAGTGAGCCAGTAAGTAGTAACAGAAAAAATAGTAGTACTGACAAAGGAACAATATATAATTTACTCATATATATTATGGTATATAAAATATAAAATGAGGCTAATATACCTAAAATAAAGGTGTACGTATGGTAACCCTTAACATGTAAACGATTTAACCGATAAGGAAATTGAATAATCTGCCACTACAAGAAAAGTGTGAATTACATGAGGATTATCCTGGGGATTAGTATGAAAATTTGCAGGAAAATAAGTTTCCTACGGATTTTCATACTAATCCCAAGGAAAATCCCCATGTAATTCACTCTTTTCTTGTAGTGTGCTCCCATGTTATTAAGCAATTAATTTTAATTTTAATCCGTTCCCCAACCATTTTTTCAATAACCAGATATCAATAAGCCAAGAAATCAATTTTGTGATTGGCTTATCGATTACAATTCGATTTTAAATACCCCTACCTAGTACGCAGTTGCAACATTCTCGATCGGAAGTCCTGAGAGTTCTGGGGCCAACAACTAATCAGTGCATCAAAGTTCATCCTACACCCAAGTATACCAATGAGGCCTCCTAAATACTTTTCACCCTTTAAATCTCACGTATAAATTCAATTGTATCTTTTTTTGGGTAAATTAAACAAGAGCAACTTGACTAGAGATTAAGTAGAAATTGGGCCAAGTAAAAGCAATAGGGTCAAGCCTTCACAAAGGATAATTTGGGATCTAGACGGAGGGTATTGTTGGTTGTTATTAAATAGAACAGGGTATCACTATCAAAGGCTATCGTGAATTATGTGCAAAGACACCATATGCGTTTCTCATCCCCACTTCTGAGTCTAGGCTTCTCATCTCCTTTCTACCGTCTATCAATCTCTGGTTCTTACTTTCAGTATTTCTATATTTTTGTTTGGCCTTTTGCTAATTGTGTTGTTGCATTTAGTTTCTGAATTTGTAATTAAACTATAGTATTATTATAATAGTTGACAAGTTGGTTATTGTTACATTCAATTTGAGCTCATTACAAAATTTCTTTTTCTTTGCTTAGTGAGGAATTTCCAAGTCAATGAAATTAGGAGGACTAATAAAATACAATGAGTGACTGTGACGACTTGACTAGAGATTGAGTAGTCAAGAGAAGTACGAACAAAAATTAATCACGCAAACAAATTGCGTATTTGGCACGAAATGGAAGATGAGAGATAGACTTTGCAGTCACAATAACAAAGATAAAAATATATATTGAAAAATAATAATGTATTTTTGGTCTCATAGTTATTATTAGGCATAATACATAAATATGTCCTTTAACTTGGCTTCAAATTACATTTGTGCCTTTCAACTTTGGGTGTGCACAAGTAGACACTTAAACTTGTATAAAATTGAACAAATAGACACACGTCCTACATGGCATCCTACATGTCATTTTTTGTCCTACGTGGTGTCCTACTGTATTGTGCCACGTAGGACTCAAGTGTCTACTTGTTCAAGTTTATACAAGTTTAAGTGTCTACTTGTGCATACCCAAAGTTGAAGGGCATAAATATGAAATGAGGCCAAGTTAAATGACATATTTATGTATTATGCCTTATTATTACTAGTACTAGTAAACTGTAATTTCGATCGTTGTAATATATATTTAAGTTTTAACCTTGAAACTTGAATTAATTAGAATTTGTATTTTTGGTGCCTTTATGTAGTAATTTGTTAGGTTTAGATTAACATTAGATTTATATTACTTTAATTTATATTATAAAGTAAAGATACAAATTTAAGATTTTTCAAAATCGAAGCACGAACAAAAGGTAGTCACGCAAACAAAGCATTTATGATACGAAATAGAAAAATGAGAGATGTACTTGGCAATCATAATAACAAGGACCAAAATAGGGATAATCACAAATCTTAGTTATTGGTAAATTCTAATTTTGATCCTTGTAATAGTTAACCTTGAATTAATTAGAATTCATATTTTTAGTCCATTTAGATAGGAAATATGTTATATTTAGATTATTATTATTAGACCTGTAGTACTTTTAATTGCGGAGCAACTATACAAAGTTGGCATAATCTATGATTAATTAAATAGTTTTATCATTGCACATTTTAAATAAATTTTGAAAACTCGATTAAAGCTAGTGAGATTCTTCGGCCAATCAAGTGTTGAGATTTGTAGGGTGGTGAGTACTTCGACTGTCTTGTATTAGGTGAGGAGAAGAAGGTGAAAGGCTAAGTAGGGCTCAAACCTACGATAATAAATGACACTTTGTTATACCTTTTTCATAATGTGGGTATATGTCTTCATGATAGATTCTATTTTTCATCTAAAAGAAATTTCTATCTAAGCCTATCTAGATAACACAAGGATGAAGGACCAACATTAAAATTTCAATAAATCAAGGACAATAACACAAATTTCCACTAGAAAATTGTGTTGTTTGGAATTTCAAAATTTGTTAGAAGTTACAATCTATGAAAGTTCAGCACACTATGTCAATAAATCAGCTATTTAAACCCATACATAATTTCTCAAAATAAACACATTTTCAAGTTTAACACACAAAAAAAAATAAAAAAAAATATGCATTTCCTCAAGTTTTTCCCCCTTTTTGTCTTCCTTTATTTTGGTCAATACTATTTATATGTCACTCATGCTGCCACTTTTGACATTACCAATCGGTGCACCTACCCAGTCTGGGCCGCTGCCTCTCCTGGGGAGGCAGACAACTCGACTCGGGCCAAACTTGGAACCTTAATGTGAACCCAGGAACAATCCAGGCTAGCATTTGGGGCTGAACCAATTGTAACTTTGATGGTAATGGCCGAGGCAAATGTGTCACGTCCCGAGACTACCCCCGAGACGCGGACACAGGACCTAGGACCACAAGTGATCCCAAGCTAACCCTGCTGGCATGATCATGAGCATACTAAAGATAATAAACTGAAGCGGAAGCTAAATCATAAATAAAATAAAAGATGGGGAATACCCATATATTATAACTGAGATAAATGAAAACTGATGAGTTTAATACAAGGAATATATTAACTCAATGCTAAGCTGAATCTAACTATGTTTGAAATAAGCCTCTAAACTGACTAGAAATGTTGGGACATGCCCTAACTAGATCTAGCAAAACTGAAACTAAAAGACTGAAAGCGATAAAGATAAACATGTCACTAGTTCTTGAAGAATGAGAACTCACCACTGATGCTGCTGAATTGAAGATCGAGAATTGATCTAAGCGTGATCTGGATGCTGAGAACCTGAACCTACATCATGAGAAGATGTAGCGCACGTATGCGTCAGTACTTAAAAGGTACTGAGCATGCAGGATAGAGTAAAGCTGAAATAACATCATAACTGAACAAAGCAAATAAGTAATGACATAATCTGAGCATGATATAAATACTGAATGCTGAGATAACTGAATGCAGTGACCAATTTATAACATGCCGACTAAATACTGAATGAACTGTAAATGTGGTCAATGCAATAGAGTCTGACTGAACTATGGGAGCTACTAATAACCGACAATAAAACCACATGAGCTAAATGTGGAGTCCGATGTATACACCCCATCGAGAGAACCCAATATACCCGGCCAAAGGTATAGAGGCATGACTGGCGTGATCACTAACTGATATTTCCCACAGAGGGACTTACACCTACGTGGCTCGTAGTTCTGGGATATATGGGTACGCTGAACCCTACTCCAACTCGGTATTATGCTACTCCCAATGAATTTAGTGGTTAACTAGTTATGACTGAATTTCTGTAAATACTAGATAGCTCAAAACTGAACATGCAAACTGAGAATGCAACAATTAATCTGATAATGATGCATTCATAAACTGAGGTATGTATAACTGAATACATTATGACTGAAATGCTGAATAGCTCAAAATACTGACATGTAGATACTCATACTTGAAAACTCCTTCTTAGAAAACAATTCAAAATCATATTATACTATGATCATTGATGACTTGGGAAGTCATACTGCATAAACATTGATGGTATATCTAGATACCATATTGTTCATACATTAATGACCTACTCGATTGTCATACTAATCATGTTTGAGAAGCTCTTTCTCAAAACTCATCTTAACTTTCTCAAAAACACAATTTAAAACTCAAGTGTTGTCTTAAAAGAAGCTTCTCAAGATGTACAACTCAAAATAAGGTTTATGTTGAAATATACTGATAATGTGGCGTTCAAAACTGGAGCATGTATATCTGAATAACTGAAATATCTGACCTAGCATGTGTAATTCAAGAACTAAAGAAATACATAGCTAGGGTTATGGAATTCATGCAATAAACTGAGCAATAACAAGATAATCTGATTTGGAACATTTAAATAACTAGTTTATGATGATCTGTTGAAGTTCTAGAAACCTTAGGTCTGTTCATAATCATGGAATCAAGAATCTGACTGATTTCTAGGGACCTAATGGGCGAAAGGAACCCACTAGTGAAATCCCACATACCTGGTGATGAATTCCACGGAGAAATCTTTAAATTTAGGGGTTGGAACTGATGGAACCTTGTTGCATTCTTGAACTAGGGTTCTTGACCTCTTTTCTCCTCTTAGCGTTCTAATTCTTCTAAGTTTGATTAATGATTTGACTTAGGTAAGTTCTAGTTATGTTTCTAGGCTTAAACTGACTAAAACCTCATGATTTAG